GGAGCTGATGAGGGTGAAATTCGTAAGAAGTCAGCTGTGTGCTTGCATTTGTTATCTCGTCCCGATTGTTTGAGTGTGTATGATGATTCCCACTTCTCTGTACTGTGTCGTGCCCGTTATGTCCAGCAGTTGAAGGTCCTTGAAGCTGTTTGTATTCGTACGCATAAGCCCGATTTGTGTAAGCAAAAAGAACATGTTTTAGCACTTAGGTTATTTTCGTGAGTTTGCACCCCGTGTTCATGAGTTGTTTCTGCACTGTTCATGCCCGTTTGTCACACTTACTCTATATTTTAGTTCTCATTTTTTGTAATACTTACCACAAGTTACCCGCCATGTGTCACACTTCTTTGGATTTTTAACCTTTGTTTTCCCTTGATCTCTTTAGTTCCGTATTTCCACTGATGATCGGAGCGTGAAAGTCGATTTTGGAAACACACAAAACCAAACCTTGAACAAATTGTCATGTTGCGTGGTGATGTCTGCGGCATTCATACTTTTCATAGCTATTATTACCAATTTTAGGCAAATTTTGACAGTTTTTTGGATTTTTCTCCAGAATATGCACGGTGACCCCTATTTTCGCCACGGTAAACCTGTTCCAACCCACTTATAGAACGTATTTGAAGTATCCACATATGGGGCAAACTCAAAAATAAGCTGCAAAAAATATTCAAAGTTTCATTTTTTGCGTCTTTTTGTTCTTCTCCAGGAAATGACGACCTGGATCCCATCGTCAACCAAAGTGTACATTTTTTTCGGTGTTGATATCATCTTAGTCAATACCTCGAACAGTCTGTAAAATTGTATGTCATATTTTCTGTCCTAACTGATGTTATGGACGATTTCTCATCAATTTTGGGATTTTGTGTTATTTTGTGTCATCAAGGAAAATTGTGTTTTTGGCAAGACCTATTCGGGCAATTGAAAAACTGATGTTACTAAGCGAAAATATAAGGCTGTACCTATTCAAACCTGATGTCAGATTGGGCTGATGTTGAAATTAAATTTTTGGGCCTAACTGTCCCGTACCCCTTAACAAGCAGTGGCAACTCTAGTACCAGCAATGTTGGACTTACATCTCAGCCATTGCCGCCGATTTCCCACGCTTCTTCTTCTTCTTCCATCTTGCAAACGCTCCTTCCCGTAAGTTCGGTCCTGGGAGTACAGTCGGAGGACAACATGGGAAAAGGACAAACGGCAACAAACATGACCCCCTTGTACGTAGGCAGTGGCAACTCTAGCACCAGCAATGTTGGGCTTACATCCCAGCCATTGCTGCCGGATTCCCACGCTACTTCTTCGTCGTCTTCCATCTTGCAAACACTCCTTCCAGTAAGTTCAGTCCTGGGCACATACGCAGTGGATTGACGATGGCGGAGATGGAGCAGATCACGAAGCCCAGGCCAGGGGCTCCGGAGGGGGGGGGGGGGGGGGGGGCCAGGAGCATATTGCGGGACCGATGCCGGACACCAAGTCAGTCTACGAAGTGGCAAATAATTGCTGACCGCCACGTACATGTAGATTGGGGTCATAGGGTCATAATCCACGGGCAATATGTTGTTCCGGGGTACCGGAAGAAGTTCGCACCACGCCTCCAAATATAGTTGCGCTCTGCGAAATCCGACGGGACGTGCAAAACCGGTGCGCAGCCCTGCTCCCGGCCTGTCCGACATCACCTTACTTGTATAATTTATTATGTATATGTGTACGTCAAGCCACATAATGCCCACATTCGTGCCACTTTCAGGCGTCAAGGGCCGTTCAAGTTGGGGGCGCCAAATATGCACTTCTTTGTTTTTGTTTCTTTGAGCACAACATGACAGTAGTTATGAAGTGCCCGGTGCGAAGACCCGTCGACCAGAGCGAGACACCATCATTCTTGCCAACGAAATCAGTTGCTTTTTGGAGCACTGCTCGTAGAATGGGGAGCTTGAAAGGAACACATGCTAGCTGTACTAGTCGTACTTTCGACCCTCGCAGGGCCCATAGCGAACTTGCACCTGAAAGGAGCGTCCCCTTACGCCTGCCTCGCTTGCCAAAAGAGACGATTTCGACGCCTAAACGGACCAAAGTTAATACTGAACTACGGTATTCGTAAACCGCAGTTAGCTCGTCATAAGAGTGCATCGATAGTGCTGAAAAGTCAGTTGGACGTCTTTCCGTTCAACGTCCGGTTTCGCATTTCTCTCCTCTTCCCACAACACGATTAGCATTCGAGAATGGCATCGTGTGGATCCCGAGCAAGGGCACCGCCGGCATTGACAGTGACACTGGTGCTGCTCCTAGGCCTAGCTGTGGTTCTTCCGTCATGCCACACTGCCAGCATCGACATGCGTAAGTACAGCAGTAGGTTGCCGTAGGCATGCCATCCTACTAGATTACTGTATGGCACTCTGCCTTGGTAGACTAGATCCTGCATGCCTGCCTTGCCTCTGCCTCTGGCACTGGCACCTGGCGTCTGAGCTCAATCATCTCTCTTTTTCCCAACTCATTTTGCACACTTTCTCTTTTCCCAACTCCAATGCTCACTGTATATATATACACAAATAAGAGATCCCCCCCCCCCCGATAGGCGTCAGCCTTTGGGTAATCCTGAAATAAAGATAATTATTATTGTTATTATCATTGAAACTCGGATACTGAGCCAGTAGTATCGCACTTTCTGACCGTGTATCATCTTGTTACAGTCGTGGGTAGTTGCTGCATAACTCGTTCTCATGTGTTTCTTCTCTTCTTTTTTTTTACATGTTATTTCATTGCTTTGTTTTTCTCGTGTAATGTCGGTCTATCCATTATGTACACGTATAGCAAATGTTGTCTATTCGTGTCACCATGGCATTGTGTGTACACTTGCAGCCAATGTTCCGGGTTATCCAGCAGAGTATGACAGCGAGCACGCCATCATCGACGCCGCAACGTCAGCGTTCAGCTGCGAGGAGGGCTACTATGAGCGATGCGCCAGTCCGCCCTGCGCCGGCGGTGTTGAGCGCACGCCTGCCAGCGCCGGCTTGGTGGACGGGCGTCTCACCTGGACCAATCTCCCTACTTGCGAAGAAATGGGTAAGTACTTCAACCGCCTCTCCTGTCTTTGTCCCCTAGTGGCGGATGGACCTAGTACAAGCATGATGTCTGCAGTGAATTTCACGACTTTTTCAGTGGAAACCATGATGCCCGCTTGTACACTACATTGCATGATTGCGATATCTTTCAGGGGCGTAGGAGGGGTTGTGGAAGTGGTACGACCGAAGGTCGGCACGGCCAAAGGCCGTTTTGGAGGGGGATCCAGGGACCTCCCACGTGAAAATTTTGCAAAAAAGATACAAAATCCTGCGTTATGGGACAGTGCAGTACGACTGCAGATGCATGGCAGATCTATGCGTATGAGTCTAGAAAAAGGTCAAAGTCTGATGCGCATATGAATCGATAGATCCTGATTATTTTTTATTACGGTTTTGAAAATGTTCCGGACGGATCACACTTTTCGAAAAGTGGTACAGCCATGGTCGTACCAGTCGTAGTGGGTGCTACACCCCCGTCTTTACTTGTACACTCCATTCTGAAAAGTATGGTCACCTTGTTCTTCTTTTTCTTGTGGCCGTAAAGATTTAGTGGGTTTGGTGAGCTTTTCTCAGGATTTGTTTGACCAAGTAGCATTGAATGCTCCTCAGGAGATTGTGCCAAACCTACTGACGTGGACATGGGAATCCGATCGAATGACCGCACCTGGCACCCTCAGTGTGGATAGCATAGTGGACAGCGTGCCCGCACTGTGTACATATCCAGTGGGCCGCTTGGCCTGCGACTGGACCGACTGGATTTCCACGTCCACGACAGTGCATCTAAGTCCAGCAAAGCCTAGTTTGACATGGGCAAGAGATCAATACTTTCTGAATGAACTGTGCATGCACAAAAGTAGAGGACAGCAGAGTACTCGAAAGAGTAGATAACCCCCATTTTTACGGGTTCATAGGTAGCACCGAGAGAAATAAAATATGGTCCCAAGGGGAGTGTGCAGCTCTGCATATGGGGTCTCCGAAATGCGAGATAATTATCTTTTTTTTAACCTACACAAGCACTCGGGAGAATGAAGTTGAAGACACCATTGCAGCTGTACTTATGGTTGATAAATATGGTGGTAAAGACACACCTGGCAATATAGCGTTAAACACACACCTGCCCACACACGCTCTCTAGGCTGCAAAGTTCTGGCACATAGCTCTCCTTCTCACCACCCCCACCATCAGTCCGCGCCTGGAGCCTACAGTCCGTTTCAAAAAGATTTGCAATCCTGGCGATCGCCCGCGGAGTTTGGCGTCTTACCGTATGAGCACTCGAGCGCTGCCTGGAAAAACTCACTGTGAACTCGAAGAAATATTCCGCGAGAAAGCAGGAAAAATGACAACTCACTCACGTTGATACAGTCATGTACGTCTGTCGTCTGGTTTACAACAAACGAGTTCTTCCTCGTATCGATAATGGAGTCAGAGAGGACATGTCGAAACGAAAGTGTTGTAAATTTTGACGAGTGGCATGGGTCCCAATTCGTTTTGTGACCAAAATAGTTTCTTTGAGCTGCGATGCAATTTACTCACCGTGTGACGAAAACGACATCGACACGGACTCATTCCCAAGGCCATGACTTGGCAAAGCTATCCGTGTGACTTCGACGACATTTTGAGAAAAGCAGACGCTTGTGAACGCTGATAGAAGACGGCGTTGACTGCTAAATTCAAATAAATTGGCGATCTTGAAATACTAGAATAAATCTTAAAAAGCTACAGCGCGATGACTTCCATATTCACTCACACCATTGCAGTGTTGTGGGTGTGTTCACATGGCGTGAGCCAGTCAAGTGTCAGTCAGTTCGGCAGGAAGCGCGAGCTCCAACAACAACAAGTCGTTTGGTGCAGCCATCTTCTTTGTCTTGTACCAGCTTGATCACCAAAACAATGAAGAATAAAAAAGTTTGACTTGAGGATAGGTTGGGATTTGAACTCACAACTTCATGGTCAGCGGACAGCATTCATAACCACAAGGCCAAAAAGGAAAGGATAAATTGTGGGTTTTGATAAAAAATCGATACTGGCTTCCTGGGCAAATTGTAAACCATGGGAAAAGGCCGGAAACCTGGCCGAAATTCTAACTCCTTAAAGGCTGATCCAATTTTTCCGAAACCTTCACAGAACAATTTGCCGTGTCCTAACAAGCCATTCTATGTACTTTGTTGTCCAAATTTCCCTTATCTTCATACTTTTTAAGACCCAAACCTGATTGTAAATCTTTTTGAAACAGACTATAGTTGATGCATGGTTGGCGGTATCCGATATAGCAGGCCTGATGAGTCCAGCGGGGACGAAACGTGCGTCGCAATCGAGCTATGTCGTTGCTGTGTCATCTTCTATGTGCCATGCGCTACTTGATTTACCAGCCTGCTATGTCGGATACCGCCAACCATGCACCGGCAAGGCGCCAGGCGCGAACTGATGGTGGTAGTGGTGAGAAGGAGAGCTCTATACCAGAACTTTGCAGCCTAGAGAGCGTGTGTGGGCAGGCGTGTGTTTACCGCCATATTGCCAGGTGTGTCTTTACCACCATATTTATTAGGGGTGAAAGTTGGCACTGAGATCCCGAGTTCGAGTACTCTGATTTTCTCCGATCGAATATTCGAGTATTCGAGTATTCTTGATATCCTAAAAATTGCACACCAACCGCCTCAAAAATCACATGATACAACCCTGATTGAACCGATTAGCAGTTCTTTTCTCGGGTGTATTGGTTGGTGGGTCATTTGGGCTCTCTCTACTCGTGTACAAATGTTCACCACACAGTCTGCACATCAATATCTGCTGACTGCTGCTCTGAAACTGCAGACTTCTGTGGTAAATGTATGTACCATGTATGAGCGAGTACTCTGATTTATTCCGAGTACGATTATATTCCAAAAATCCAAACGAGTATTCGAATATTCGGTATAATTGTTTCACCCCTAATATTTATACACAAAAAAAATCACGGTTCGCGTGAGACTCGGCTGGAAACCGAGTTTTTCGCATCCGTAGGAAAACCACCACCCTTCAAGGATCAAGGCACAGGTGCAGCTCCTAAATCGGTGGGAGGTGAGCAGACCAGCTCACCAGCATGTGGTCAAAGACCGAAAATCCCATTCACTGCATCCATGTTTCCCTCGTGGCAGGCCGAGAGTTCCCAATTAACTGTGGGTCGCAGCACGGCTGGAAAAAATACTTCCGCTTCCAAGCAGGACTTGAACCTGGTACCCTCTGTTTCTCAATCATGGTCTTAGACCAACCCACTATGCCTGCCTGCTACTATACACAAGCACTCTGTAAATATTGAAAATTTCATCTCAAAACCTCACGTCCTGGAGGACACGCTTTTTTCATTTATTTTTAACCCGGTTGCTATAAAGTTGTCAACGACCTGACGTCACACTTTGAAGCCATAATAGTCTCTTCCCTTGTACCCGTCAACTTCTAGGCCAGGCCATAGTAGCAAAGTGAAGTGCAAGCACAAATTGCTAGTGCAATTTGCGAGAGCAATTTGCGAGTACAATTTGCGAGCACAAAGTGCGAGTGCAAGTCGCGAGTACAAATTGCGAGTACAATTTGCGAGAGCAATTTGCGAGTACAAACTGCAAGTACAATTTGCGAGTACAAATTGTGAGTACAATTTGCGAGTACAAGTTGCGAGTACAAAGTGCGAGTACAAAGTGCGAGTACAAAGTCCGAGTACAAAGTGCGAGTGAGAGTGCAAAGTAGGATCTAGAAACACACATCTCCGAGTGTTAGTGGACCTGCTGATCATTATTATATCGCAGTGTGTGGATTCCCATGGCTGTCGAACCCAGCATGATTTTGTTGGGAACAACGAGAGAGCTTGGAAGCTCATAGTCATGGCCCTTCACTATGCTTTTTTGCCTTGATGACCTAGACAAAAAAAGCATAGGGATGTTATAAATTAGGGGTGAAACGATTAAGGGATATTCCTTAACGGTTAATCCAAAACTTATCGATTACTTATCGATTATTATCGATTAAGCACCACTGACGAAAAACTCACCATTTTGCATCAACTACAATCAATTTTGGAACTTCGAAGAGAACAAAAATAAAGGAAACATCGACCGTCGCACAGGCACAAACTGATTCTGAAGGCTACTTGTCCAGAATAGTGAGTTCCGTGAAGCAACCGGAACGAAAGTTCGCGGGTACGAATCAGTGCACGGTGCAGAGAAAAGAGCTGCGTGTCATACAATAGATCTAAAGAGTACATCAGGTAGATCTACCGGGTAGAGTCTATGCGTGTAGTGGGTATCCAGAGCATGAGCAACTCGCTGTGAGCGCTGCACGCGCGAATCCACTCGTACTCTGGTACATGTGCTGCACGCAGTAAAGTCATGTAGACACACTGCACATGCCGGATATTTCGTCGTACCGTATAGTATGTCTTACGAAAATGCTGTAGCGATTAGAAAAATCGTAATCGACTAGATTTTTTCGATTAATTTATCGACTAAACCACATAATCCTTTCACCCCTATTATAAATTTATACAAAAGAGAAAGACCAAGGAACCAAGGATGTTATAAATTCTTATAATTTTCTCCTTTTTTTAAGACATACATGTAACCTGGGATTCGAACCCGCACTATCGCCCTGCATGCATTCCCCCATACACTTCGCATTCATACTCATTCTTCCAAGTTGCTTCACGTTATGATCTTGCATTTGAAAGCCCTATTTGAATATTGCGGCCAGCTGTATGTGGCCAGCTGTGTTTGATGGAACGGTATGGGACAGGTACGGGATAGCGCCAGGCGTGACACAAACACACAAACAAACAAACAAATACCAAATTAAAGCTGTGTGGACCCTGGCTAGCGCCAGACGTTACTGAAGTAACGTCTTCTGCATAGCTACGGGAATAAAGGCCTCTTGTACGGGCTACATTAACAGAAACACAATGCCATGAACTAAGCCGTCTATAATGTTAAAAGATCAAACATTTGAACATTGAACGCCCGTTGTGATTGATTCTTCTTACCATCTTCATACTTTTTCTTACCTCCTTCAATAGCTAACTTGGGAAACTGAAAGATCTTTGCGCACAAATCTGACACCGCTTACAATAATTCATATTATCACATGTCACGTGAGTGTTTCCTTGGATCGGGCCAATCACTGGTCTGTATGAGCGGGCAATAAATCAGTCCAACGCCCGCGTCCAAAGCCCGTCGTCAGTGACAACCCTGACTGAGACTGCACGCGTGAAATCTACGGGATGTGAACATGGTGGGCATGGTGACTGTACGTCGCAGTGTGACATGTGAACGCGTGTCGCGTGGTCGAAAGCAGGGAGTAGTACAATACCGGTATTGTACTACTCCCTGGTCGAAAGTGGCGATCTCAGCTTTTCTCGCATGACTACGACGACTCTGTAGAATGTACGACTCTACGACGAATCGCAGTGTAGCATTGAAACGAAGATGGAATTCTTTTTGGAGATGGACATCCCGGCAATGGACATGGCCTCGGACGTCTGCCGTGTGGTGCTTGCAGGGATCATTTGTTCAGTCATGTTGGCAGCCTAATCGTCGGTAAGCTTTTGGATAAGATTCAGTTCTGCTCGAAGTGGTACTGTGATCACAAACATTATTTGAAATAACACAAATTCAACTCGGCGTCGTGCGTTTTCAGATCCTCGCAAAGTCACTGCCTGTGTGTGGTTTTCATGTGCCACACAAAACTCTTACCAGGCTCATCTGTCCTCTGCCTTCACCTTTGCTTGAACAACAAACACAACAATTCAGGAATGTTTTGCAATGAAAAATACAGCTATCTGGAGCTGAAAAAAGAAGAAGAAAAATTGTCCTCAGAATTACACACCAGGGAGTCGTCAAATACTTGCACTTGTTGCAGTACTGTATCTGACAACTTCCTGATACACATGTAAACATGAAGAAACTCTTTGTGGGAGCACTCTTAATTTTTCAACTGAAATTATGATTCTGCTGTATTTATTGTCGTTGCCATGTCTATTGCTATGACGATGCGGTGCCGGCACATTTTTTCTGCCTCCGTCTTTCAGTACTGTATACTCTCTGATGGCCTGTAGCAGACTTTTTGTTAGGGTGTAGGAGAAATATCTTCATTTTTCCTGTTTTGATAATGATAGCACATCAATATACATTGTGGTCATAATGTGTTGGCATTTGGGCTAATTTCAACAGCAGCCCAATGGTCTGCTCTGTGGGCCATGTGATAAATTTGTTATCGCATGGTTGCTGCGGGCCTTATGGCATATTATTGCCCCGAGAGGTTAGCCCAAGGGCCGTAAGCCCGAGGGCTAACCTCGAGGGGCAATAATATGCCATAAGGCCCTTGCAACCCTGCGATAACATATACTGATCGCTGAATCGAGTTATCGAGCATAAAACTCAACGGTAATTGAAAAGTGTGAGAATCCACATTCGTTTCAGCCCTTTAAAAGTCGTGTCTCCGTGTCTCCGTGTATCTGTGTATCTGTGTTCGCTTTGTTTCTTTGCCACATTCAGGCACATTCACGTGCGGCGCTTCCACCTATCTCCATGGTGACAATAGGACCACGCTGAGCAGCGCACGTCAGAGCTGTCTGAACGCCAACTCTACTCTGCTCAACCATCTCTTTCTGGCTAGTCTGAGCGGTGAGGAGCGTGGCTGTGTGCTCGACAGGGCCAATCCGAATTGGAACGTCGACGCCAACGGAAGACGGTATGCGTTTGATAGGGACCATGACGACTTCACTATTCCCCAGGGTGACGGGGCGGTCTTTGCTTTTGTTTGCCTTCCAAGTAAGTATATGTACTGGATGTATACACAATACTCAATCTGGATGCATACAAGTGCAAAGTGCAGTCAACTCCTGATACAATACACATCATTGGGTAGGGGGAAGTAGTTTCTTCTAGCCAAAGTTGTGTGTTAAACCGAAATGCACTCACACTATACGAGCATCACATCATGACTGGTGTTTGGCCCACAACTGTACAAGTGAACTTGGTTTGCATGTGGCTCCTACAAGACATGGTTCACTATTAACGAGAACTGCTCTCTAAGAAGTTTCATTTTTGTATGGGTTCAAACAAGCACATTTACACTGGTTCGCTAGATGACAAAAACATGCCACTGTTAACCACCCAAATATTCGCGGCAATAACTTTTCGCCGGATCTCTCAGAACCAGCAAGTTTAGGACGACAAGAGGTGTTGCCACACACATACCCCCACTGTTGAAGTTTGATTTCACCATGGCTAATATTCGCGCTATTCCTCATCCTTTGCTCGCGAAATTATCTAACATTAATAGGTGGCGAACACCAGGCAGTTTTCAGTATAATTATGTTATCTTCATCATTTAGCGAGAACTGTGGCAATACGCCCTGTGAGAAGGCAGATTTTGCCTGTGCTTATGGTGAAGTATAATTATTAAACTAAACAATAAAAGAGAGAGGTTCCAGGCTGTCCAAGAGAGTGCTCAATATCGAGAGGCAAAGCTAGTTCAAACAATAAGAGAATGGAAAAAGTGTTTTAACTCTTTTTCCGTCCCCTTTAAATATTGTATAAAGCTAAACAGTATGCGAGTTTGTTATAAATGGAGTCCATAGTTCATGGTGTGAAACAACTGGTGTCATATTCTAACAATTAAACCTTTTGAATAATGCTTTTTCAAACAAACGAATATTCTGTATTCTTCTGATGTGGCTCGTTCACTTCACTCAATTAAATCCAGCAGTCATGTTGCACCCAGATCATGTGGATATTGAATCACCATCAATTTTGTGAAAGAGCAGATGTGACCGAAAATTGCCTCCCAGTTCTGAGAAGGAAAGTTCTAGATGGCTGTCCCCAACTTTGCTCATGAGATCAGAGTTGGAGTTGCCTAATAATCCACGCAGACAATATAAATCTTTGAATAATTATATTTTCGAATGTGACTGCTCGCATTTGAATGTTCTTTCCGAGGTCAATATTCTAGAATATTCGAATACATTGAATTTCCTGGGGTGGGGGTAAAGAAGAATGAAGCGAGTCGTTTTGTGCAAGTTCGGAACAAAATCGTTTTCTCCTGCATGAATAGACTAGGCGGCAGGGTGTGATTGAATACCTATTCTAACACTTGCAACTCAGTGAGAACCATCATGACTAGAAAGTGGCACAACAGCAAGAATAGTAGTAATACCGGTCCAAATTTGGCATGGCTTCCGATTACATGTACGTTGACAAAATGGGTAGCCCAGTCCGGCTTGTATTTGTAACCACATACAGATTGTGCTTTGTGCTGTTCTCTGTGATGATATTCCCCATCAGTGTTTTCTTCTAGTTGAGTGCATGCATGTGGGTATGATCATACATGAAGTTACAGTCGAGAGTATATTTGCTAGTCCTCTTGCACGTCCGTTTCTGTAACTTAGTTTTCAGTAGTGTCCGACCTTAGTGTATTTTATTGGGTAGAATTCGACCCGAATACCATGGATCTGGTTACTGTATAGCAGGACATTTTCGGATGGAATTTAATTTTCGTACGATTTCGTACACGGCTTCCTTTGTACTAAAGTTATTTCTCTATTAAAATTTGTTCATGGGAAGTTATATACACTATATCAAAATGCTGCTTGAAGACCCAGCAATTCGCATGTAGTGGCACAGTGCACTTCGTAGTGCAGCTAGCTAGCCGTAACATTCATGCAATGCACCTTGGCTCGCACGTACTGCATGCGAACACGTGCATTTAGCATGCAGCACTGTACGAAAATATAATCCGTACGAAAGGCCGAAATTCGACTTTGTCCGAAAATATTCCCGTCCGACAATTTCCTGCTATACAGTATATTGGTTTTGGCTGCTGGGGAAAATGTTTTTAAAAAGAGTTCAAGTTCAAAGACGTTCCCATTTTATGTGCAAAGATGCTTTGAAGAAGTTCTGGTGAGATGTGATGTTTTGCATGAAAGTGGTCCTAGAACTCTGGCTGGTGCTGATCTCACTTGCTCTGTACAATCTTGTGTTCTAATTTGCTGTGATGCCCGTGTATTACTAGCCAACTACAAGTCGCTGATGGCCAGCTCTGCTCCAGACGTGGACACCAGGAGCGAAGTGCTCAGATGCAGAGGCTTGCCCGAGGTGTACAGCTGTGAGCATGAGGACACTACGTTTGTCAGCATGCCAGGCTACGTGGAATTTCACCTCTGCCTGCCGCAATGCTCAAACCAAGCACCACTTCCACCCAGTAAGTTTACAGGATGTTCTTAGACCAGTGTGCTATGGATGCTTGTACCGTGACAATTCCACGTACCGAATATCCACACCTTTCAAAGGTGCGCAAAAAAAACGAAAACGAAAAATACGGTAGATGCAGAGCCGAAGGATTTATGGCAATAACATTGCAGTTTACAACCCGGGGCAAAGCCTAGGTTTTTATTACTGTTATGTAATGGCAATAACATTCCAGTTTAAAACCCGGGGCAAAGCCTAGGTTTTTATATCTGTTATGTACATGTACTGGCAATAAATCCTGAGAGGCTACTACATTCATTTATTATACAGGTGTTGACCTGCACTTTCCCCCAAAAGGAATATTTTATCAACAGTATTTATTGGCCTTTAATCATGCAAGCACGGTAGTTGAAGTTGTGTTCAATGCATGGTCATATGCCAAATAACGTGCAACTAGACTTGAGAGGGCATCGCACACAAGTTGCATACAAATTTTACTACAATGTGTACATGGTATGCCCTGAGGTCTGCAGGAATGCAAGTCACAGGTAACCGTGCAACTTTGAACTTTGTATGCAACTACTCTGCAATGCCCTCTCAAGTCTAGTTGCATGTTATTTGGCATATCATCTATTCCATCCAGCACAGTTCTTCGTTCTCCTTGTTCTCCTTCGAACTCCCTTTAGTTATGGCTTTCTTGATCCTTAAAGGCCGATGGCGTTCCTACCGATGCGGAAAACCTGGCGTCTGACGTGAACTGTGAATTTTTATTCTCTTTTTTCGTTTTTAGTGCCCACTTGTATTGCCTTTGGAGCATGACGTCATTGCTTTTATCATGCACTGCACATGACCTACGCACGACTCGTTCTTTTCGTTGGGGGGGGGGGGGGGGCTGGATGACATGTAGCTTTGCGCGCACTGGTGTGTTCGTTGATGTTCGCTTTGAGCTTCTTGCTCGCTGTAGTGGCTTTCGGACAAGACTGTCTTGTTGTTCGATAGCTTTCCAACGATTTCTATTGCTACTGGTTGTGCTCATGCCTCAGGGTGGGTCAGATCATGGACACAGTGCTAACTCCTGGCCATCTTTTGTGTGCTTTGTGAACAGCTCAAGAACTCGCCTTCGGAGAATTCAGCGTCACCTTCAATAAGTACGAGCATGGGGTCACCGCCCCCGTTGCAAGGTCTGAGTGTAAACGCCAGGGCAGGCAACTTCTCCATGTTAAGGATTTGAATGCCTTCAAATTTCATCTCTTTTTCGCTGTAAGTTTGTCAGAATGGTCTTAAAAAGTGAGATGCATCTGCTACAGTGTCCCACTGTGCTGTCAGTAGGGGGTGAACGTTGGCACTGAGATCCCGAGTTCGAGTACTCTGATTTTCTCCGATCGATTATTCGAGAATTTTTTTCTCCTAAAAATTGCATGACAATGTCCAATCACATGATTACAACCCAGATTGGACCGAGCGGCTGTCGTTTTTCTGGGGTACATTCGCTGGTGGGTCAGTTGGGCTCTCTCTCCTCATGTAAAAAGGGTCACCACACAGTCAGCACATCAATATCTACCCACTGCTGCTCTGAAACTGCAGATTTCTGAAATAAATAGTTGTACCATGCATGAACGAGAACTCGGATTTAGTTAGAGTACGATTATTTTGGAGAAAAAAAACCGAGCGAGCGCTCGAATATTCGGTATAATTGTTTCACCCCTAGCTGTCAGTGCTCATTTTTGCAGGCATAGGTGTTGTCGCTGACCGGCACATTGATATTTGTTTGATATTCTTTTATTTGTACCTTTGCAGCTCTGCACAGTTTGTACGAGTACTTGGAGATTTATGCAGTACATGTTTACAGCTCTATTTGAATGCCTGCCTACTGCAGTGGCGGGTTTAGGGGGTGCACGGGGGGGGGGGGGGGGGGCACGTGCCTCCACCCCCCCCCCCCTCGAAAGTTTCGACCTACAATTGTAGTTTACAAAAATTAAAAGGCAGGGCTGGGGGCGCGTGCACGCGGCCTGAAACGATCATCCAAAAGCGGTTGCACTGTACGGTACTCGAGCTGGTATTGATTGTACACACTACAGAGTAACAGTGATCATGCACGGCTACAGAAACACGGTGACCTGACTGTCTACACTGTTGTACAGTGTGATCCCTGCTGGGACGCGCTCGACGGGTCTTGAGACTTCTTTCCGCAACTTTCAAGTTTGCACAACGATGTTTTGTTTTGAGGTCGACTAATCGCCCGAGCCCTCGGCATTCGAATCGTGTTTTGGTTGACTCGAAGACTTTTCTTCGATGTCTCAGTGACATTCCAAAAGGCCAAGCTCTAGCCAGCAGAGCCTGGATGGATTTTTTGCAAAGCGTTCCTGTGGCGGCGCAACTCCTGCTGCCGCTCTAACAGGAAACAGTGGGAGTGATGACGTCGCTGTTATTCCAGTTGAACTTTCGGAGCGGACTGACAGTCACACATCGCCAATACAATTATTTGTTCGTGGTGTGTGAGATTTACGGCTCCTTGACATCGGTTTTCAAAATGCTTTCAAAATGGCTGACCTGGGACAGTAGTATGATGTGATCTAACCCCCCCCTCTCCCAGCCAAATCCTGGACACGCCACTGTACTGCACTGCTTTGTTTGGATGTGTGCGTATGGCGCAGTGGTCCCTTGTAGTACGTGAGATGTAGTGTGGGTTAGCATACAGGTGTGAACGCTACGCACTTCATGCGAGCTACTTTTCTGGATTCTGTACATCCTTTCATGCACGTGTCGCTGGCATACGCGAAACAGGCCGGGTTTGTGTATTGGTTTTTGAAGCATGTGGTTCTTCTTTTCAGTTGTTGTTCTTTGGTTGCTCCGCGAGTTATGGCTTTGGATTGGAGACAAAGATGGCTTCTGTTTCAGTAATATAATGTAATGTAACTATAGGGAGTGAGTTTGCTCCCACACTGGAGCTCGCGCTATTCCGCCGACTTGACTTGACTGACTCACGACTGCCATCCAGAGCACACGAGAAATCCATCGAACCTTCGACTCGGCAAACCTGCAAGAAAGCACCACTCCCTGCTCAATACACAGTGTTTCGGGGAATTTACCCCTCATCAGTTGAGCTTTAGTAGGCTGAGGAAGATTGTGCCTGAAGGGCACCACTTATAATCATAGTCATCGCCAAAAGTCGCAACCACTATTTCGTTCTAATGTAACTACAGTCAAATCTGCCGTTAGCGACCTCTGCTGTAGGCGACCATCTACCGTTAGCGACCAATTTTCCGTGCACCGACGGTTTCGCATACAAACTGATCTGTCCAGAGCGACCATCTGCTGTGCGCGACCAGTGACCGCGATTTCATGCACAATGGCTGCATTCAAATCTGCTGTAAGCGACCGCGACCCAGGTTCAGTCAGGTGCGAAACTGTACTTTCCAGTACGCTGTCAACTGCAAGGTGTGAAAATGCGCTGTCTTGCAAGTGCGATCGATTGGCCCTGGCCTGTACTGAGGCTGCGCTGTAGCTCTCAAGATTAGCCCTGGTATGTGTACCATTCTTGGGATTGTGCACCCCTATATTCTATTGAATATCCAAAAAATGATATTAAAAATCACATTATTCTCGTCGATTTGAGTACATGGAAGCATATACAATGTATGCATGCCCAGTACGCCGGATTTACCATACATCTGCCGTAAGAGACCATCTGCCGTAAGAGACCACTTTTTCTTGCACCAAGGGCGGTCGCTTATGACAGATTTGACTGTAAAACTGATAGTATTCTGTTGGGTTTTGGGATGCGTTGGGACCCCGACACCAATAGGCGTGTTGGAGTATGCGAGCATGTTTACGTGGGCTGTGGGTATGTGAAGAGGAGGGGGGGGGGGGGGGAGGGGGGCAGGCATTATGGGTGTACGGGTGCATGCATATGCGCAGGTGGTCCAGGGGTGGCTGTGTGCTTGCACGGACGTGTTTTCACGAATGTGGATGTGTGTGAGTGTGTCTGTCTACCTGTGTATATATCTGTGTGTGTGTGTGTGTGTGTGTGTGTGTGTGTGTGTGTGTGTGTGTGTGTGTGTGTGTGTGTGTGTGAGAGAGAGAGAGAGAGAGAGAGAGAGAGAGAGAGAGTTTGTGTGCTTTCGTTGCTAAAAAGGAAAGATCCCTGTGTATGTCTCCAGCAAATTTGTGGATTGTTAGCTGGTTTTTGTATTATTATTACAGGCAAAATTGGACTCGGTTGGAGAGCCACGGATAAATTTATAGAAAAGAAAAAGCCCAAGGAACAAAAAATTACGCTATAATGTTCACTAACTTCGAAGACAAACGAAAATTCAATCGTGGAGGTGGAGACCACCCGTAATGTGCCAATCACGCATAGATCTCCATGTACATCACCATCAGAATCGCTTCGAGCCGAAACGTAAACTAAACTCATTGCGTAGTCCTGTCAGATTTTCATTTGGGTTTTGCAACTTGCTCTGGCTGCTACAGCCTCTGGGTTAGGAGTGGTCAGAACATGTTCTGAACACTCGGTAATCAGTGCAAACCAGTACAGACCAATCCAACGCCTTTGTTCTAAACCATCCTGTTACAGATCCAACCAATCAAACGTGCCCCTAGTCATCTTCTTTATCTCTGAAACTCGGATTGCTAAAAGATTTCATCACAAATTGGTCCTGATTCCGAAAACACTAACTGTTTTTGGTCGCTAAAATCAGCTGTACTACAGTGGCAGAAAGGGTGGTGAAATGGGAGGTGCCGTAAAACCAGATATTTTTTAAACGACAATCAAAGTTAACGATCTCCGAATTTTTGTGGGTTAGCTAGGTGAAATTCTAACGAATTTTGCCTCCAAACCGGTAAATGAACATGAGCCAGAGCGCGCTAAAACATGACCACAGCTTTTTTTGAAAAAGTCGAGAAAATCGCGATTTGAATTCCGCGGCAAAATACGAAGTGCAGTGCAACGCGAGTCGCTGTTGTTGTTCTCCTCGGTCGCCTGGACTGTTCCGGATGCATTTCTTTGTTGCAAGTAAGTTAATTTGTTTGAGTTTGTATTCCATGTTGCGCTGAGTCACCTAAAACTGATCGACATCGATGTATCGACGGAACAGCCTAGTAGTAGTAATGTACTGCAGAGCGGGAGAAGACGACATCCTCGCACTCTATGCGCAGTATAATATTTTGAGGATTCGGGTCGGAAACAGAAGGAAGACGATGATGGCTACAGCGACGAGTCATTTGAGGGTGACACTTTCATCGAGCGTAAAATAATTGATACTGGTAGTCCCACGATCTGCAGTGACGAGGAATTCTACTCTGATGACAACCTGGCAAGCGATTGGCATCGACACTGACTTGGGAGGTGAGTCGGCTGATGATTTGGCCAGAATGGACATCGCTGCACATATCCGGGACAATGCCAGTATTGGTTGCAAGTGCAAAAACAATCAATGGACTCTGCTGCCCCCTCAACTTGCTCAAGTCGATAATTTGAGTACCCTTATGCTGAACATTGTTAGCACGAGCAGTAGGGAGCGAAAGCAGTACTCTCTGGCGAGCGGAGAAAACTGTGTGCAGATGGGCTTTGGTGTGGGGAATATGAGTGCGACGTCGAGTATGTTGAGGAAGACTGTGTGCAGCAGTATATACTGTATATCTGAAAGTACAGGTGGAGTGCGATGGAGAGGACATGGAGTGCCAACTTTTTTCGGCCATCTACAGATGTTGACCGTTTTTTCGCTGGCAGTTCTCCAATGGTACTCCAAACAGGAGGTATTTCAGACACCCATATCAGCTGCCTATAGAAATTTTGGATATGGCCGAGTACCTGTCAGCTCATGCTATAAGACCCTGGACAGAGGAACTGACCCGGAAAGGATGAACCAAGGGACATATCAACTGTGTGAAAAAATTACAATCCCATTGCTGTACATAGAATTTCACCATTTCAACAGTGCTGCATATATACCAGTGTAGCAACACTTAGACATGTCAGATCAATCCAAAACTTGCAGACAGCGAACATTAGGTGTGTTCGATCACTTTTGAACAAGAACTGAGAATCGAACTTTTGGTCTGTGGTCATATTTTAGCGTGCTCTGGCTCACATAATTATCGTTTCGCATGTAATGACTGAAAATGTTAAAGATTTTTATAAATTAATTGAACCGTTTGAATTAAAAGTTCGCTAACATTACTGGTCTTACAGTATGACCAATGACAGGCGTTGTTTGGCTACACCCAGGAAAAGCAGGCAATACTATCGATGTGCCTGCTGTAGCACCAGAGTCAGCCAGTTCCCTGGTCAATTTTAGAAACTGCCGTGAACATGTGACCATTGATGTGGCTGCAGACCTAGGGCCGCAGGTCACGTTCACTTTCTTCGGTACACTGGGCTGGTATGTGCATTGCGCAGCACTGATTCTTTCCTTTTTACTGAATGCCACAGAACCGGCAGATGCTGCACAGCAGGGATGGGCGCATATTGGATGGAAGTGAGGGCGGGGCGGAAGTAACTCCTCCGACCAAGGGTCTACTATGAAGTGAAGGTGCCATTCATATGCCTCCTCTTGTCTTTGTGTCCTCTTCTGTGAATCTACCTATTTCTGCCGTTTTCAGATCAAACTGAAGTTTTCTTCATTGGAAGATATCTGGGTGGTGAATTCGGGCAGGAGGATTGCCAAGTATTATATTCAACGGAGATATATTGTGAATGAAGAACTTCACTCGCGCTCTTTTGCACATGGCTTCATCTGTACCAAAGGTGAGCTTTTTTCAACGCACAAGCATCCATTGAGTATGGAATGCATATACAATGATTTGTGCGGTCCAGCACTCTTGCATTCATTCATGCTCTCTTTATCTCCCCCCCCCCCCTTCCCCGAAGGGTACACCTTCCCCAACCTTCCCCAGAGGGTACAGCCCTTCCCCAAGGGTACAACCCCACGAAAGGGTACAGCCCTCCCCAAAGGATACAGCCCTCCCCAAAGAGTACAGCCCTCCCCAAAGGGTACAGCCTCTCCAAAGGGTACAGCCTCTCCAAAGGGTACAGCCTCCCAAAGGGTACAGTCTCCCAAAGGGTACAACCCCACAAAAGGGTACAGCCTCCCCAAAGGGTACAACCCCACAAAAGGGTACAGCCTCCCAAAGGGTACAACCCCACGAAAGGGTACAGCCTCCCAAAGGGTACAACCTCCCAAAGGGTACACCCCTGCCTAAAAGGTATTTGCTGTATGTTTCTGTTTCTTGATATCACAGAATCCTGAATGAAACGTCTGCTGTTGTGCTAAATGATCGCAGAAACTCTAACTAGCGAGAGCACTATCACAAATGAAACGTTAATAACATATGAAACTTCATGTTGATGTAACGGTGACAGACAGGTTAGGTAAACTTTCGGCTTGGGACAGTTCGTCTTCGCTTGGCTTCCCCTCTTTATCTACTTTACATACCTTTGAGCCTCCCGGTTGGGTGGTCTGTTGCCTTGCGTGGTCTTGATGGTTGCACTTGTGTTTGTGTGTTAGATGTCTCTGCCAATAGATGCATTGGGCAGAACCGTTGCCCGGAGAACCACCAATGTATACACAAGGGCAAAGGCTTCGCGTGTAAAGGTGAGGTGCGAGTATTGTTTTCACTGTCGGTGGCTGTGCTGCTCCATAATGAAATTCAGGTCAGGATGAGCGTGTACGGGCAACCCTGTTGTAAAATGACGCTTTGTTTTCCTGCGTGAGGACATTCTCCAAACTCTCCAAATCTAGTCACGTTCATATGTGATATGAGCAAGAGCGACCCTGAAGTCCAGATTCCTTTTCTCGGCCTTCTTGTTCGCCTCTTGAAGTTAGTTTTCTACCCGTCATGTCATAATTATCAACCCTTTACTACCGGCGTGCAGTCATTCGATCATGTTATATGATCGATTAATAAAACGTTCGTAACTCCATCGTTTCTTGTGCAACAATCGAAGGGTCTATGCGGTACTGAAACTCCCATCTGTCCAATGTAACAATCGCCGGAGACGTACGGTACAATCGCCGGAGACGTACGGTGTCAGGCTCAAGAGATACCGCGCTCTGTATTCTTATCTCTGTAAAATCCTAATTTTTGATCGATCTCTTCACCTTTTGGGGGGGGGGGGGGGGGGGACACACACACACACCTCAGAAATCAGACAAGCCCATCGCGGAAGCGATGATAGCGAGCAGCAACTTGTGCTGGGATTACACCATTCAACAGCTTGGAAGGCTGATGAATTGACCGCCAATAATTTTAGACTGGTCTACACCACACAGCTATTTGAAATGACTTTTCTGGCCAGTGAATCCCTATTTTTATTTATTTTATTTCAATTTATTTTTTCATCCTTTCGTCATTTATTTTTGACACACACCACATCACACCACATATTCCGGCATTCACTGGCTGCTGAGAGAGAGACACACACACATACACACGAACACATACACATACACATACAGCTTGGAACGAGTCTGTTGTGCACCTGGACACCTGGCCCGAGTTCCCTGTGATTGGCTGCTCTAACTCACGGACTGTGACTTGGTGTCCGTTCTGCATTTTCTTGTCTTTCAGGCACTAGGCGTTGCGATGGTGAAGCACTTTGTCCTGTCCCATTTGAAAACTGCTTGAACACAACCAGGGGCTTCGAGTGTAGAAGTAAGTTATGGCACTTGTTCAGGGTGAGCAGAATCCCCTTCAATCACTTTGTTTCTTGCACAATATTTACACACGTCTCACTAAAACAGTTTATCGGCTACATTAAAAAAATTATAGAAAAGAAAAGGATTACGGAACTAAATGTTACGCTACGAGAGAGCTTGGAAGCTCAGGGCCCTACGCTATGCTTTTTTGCATTAATGACCTAGACAAAAAAAAATGCATAGGGATGTTATAAATTCTTATAAATTTCTTTTTTTTTTAAGACAATAACCTGGGATTCAAACCCGCACTATTGCCCTGCATGCATCCCCCGATACACTTCGCATACATACTAATTCTTCCAAGTTGCTTCACGTTATGATCTTGCAGTTAAAAGCCGTATTTGAATATGCATTGTGGCCAGCCGTCTTTGATGGTACGGTACGGTACGGGACAGGTACGGGACAGGTGCGGTCGCGGGTAATACGACACTGTCTACCGCCTTGATGACAGCAAAAAAAGTATAGGGATGTTATAAATTTTTCAATTCTCCTAATTTTTTCAGACATATCCTGGGATTCGAACCCGCACTATCGCTCTATATGCATTCCCCCTTACACTTCGTATTCATACCCATTCTTCCAAGTTGCTTCACATTATGATTTTGCGTTTGAAAGCCCTATTTGAATATTGCGGCCAGCTGTATGTGGCCAGCTGTGTTTGATGGTACGGGACAGATACGGGATAGCGCCAGGCGTGACACAAACACACAAACAAACAAACAAACAAATACCAAATTAAAGCTGTGTGGACCCTAGCCAGCGCCAGACGTTACTGAAGTAACGTCTTCTGCATAGCTACGGGAATTAAAGATCTTCTGCATAGCTACGGGAATAATGTCCATTAACAACACCAGTTACTCGACAATCAGCTCATGTGACAAAATTGCACAACGGCAAAAGGAACCAAAGCAAAAGCTAAAACCCGAAAACGAACAAGCTTACATCGTGCCACAACAAGCCAACAGGAAACAAACCGGAAGCAAGGTTCACAAAAACCAAGAGCCAACGATCTACAAAACCAGGCCGCCCCAAATGGCCCAACCAAAAAACACAAGAGGCGAAGCTCTACCACTTATCACAATTTGCCAACCGAAACACCAGAGCCGGAGCTAAAACAACTAAATCGCATGCCCATAACGCACAACAAATCTACAATTAAAAACAATGAAGAGCAACAGAACGACAACCAAACTCAGACAACACAGCAACAATAATATCGAACTGAACAATGAGAGAAGCACAACCAGACAGCACAGTGAGCAAGACGAAAAAAAGGAGGACACACACTCGGCGATGCCAGACACATTCACTGTCCTCTGGCAAGCCATGGCCACACGCTCCAAGCAGTATCGACTACAATTTCGCGCATGCTCACAGCACACATACACATGTACACGTCTAAACCACGACAGTTTGGGGAATGCCATCGCACAGGAAAACAATACATGGTTTCGTAACACACGCCACTGACTGAAGGTACTGACGCTCTACAACTAAGGGCGCGTTCTGACTACCGATAAAAAGTGACCGATTGGGAAAGTCGCCAAGGTGATTTGATCACGTGACGTTACTGGCACGTTACCGGTGGGAAAGTTTTACTGCCGCGGCTGCTGCGGCAGTAAACTTTTACCGGCAGTAAAAAAGTGCTCAGGCTGCATGCACGCTGGGAAAATAGGGAAAACCCCTTGTCAGTGCCGCGGTGAGAGCTGAAAACTTCACGGTAACGTTAGTTTGTTATCGGTAGTGTGAATGTCCTTCACGGTTTATCGGCATTCACGGTTTGACGGGGTTCACGGTAGTCTGAACGCGCCCTAACTGCACACCAGCTCTAGCACGTCTTGGATGCGCACTCCAACTCACTTCCAACCTGGAAGGTGCTAAGGCCTTGTTTACACATCAACGATTGAAAAACGTTTTTGTCAAAATGATTTTCAAAAGAACACGCTTCCACAGATTTTGATAGGAGGTTTCAAAACAAAACGGCCTTCAAAGTGTGTTCCAATCGTATTCGTTCCGTTTCGTTCTCGTTTAGACGGTAAAACGTTTCACTGCTCTAAACAAGCCGCCGCCAGTCCAACTTGAAGCACGTGACCTTTGCGCGCAGAAAAACACGTTGCAGTGTACACGCTTATTGTTTTCGTGTGAACAGCAAAAACGTTCGAAAACAGAATAAAAACGTTTGTCAATCATTGTTGTGTAAACCAGGCCTACCGTACGGGAATAACATAGGAGAGGAAGGTGCACATATAAGACTTTCATCTTGTGCTTGTCTGATTCTCTGCACTGTGTGTGTGACCTGCGGTATATGTGCGGTCTCTGTGGTGCGGGTGGGTGTACGTGTGTGTATACGTGTGTGTGTTTGTGTGTTTGTGTGTGTGTGTGTGTGTGTGTGTGTGTGTGTGCGTGCGTGTGCGTGTGTGTGCATGGGGTGTGCGACCTCGGTGCCATGTGCTGCCCCGTTTTCCAGAAGCAAGCATAACGCCGGGCCCTATCAGAGAGACGCTGGACTACATAGCAAATCTCGGCTGAACCAATAATTGATCCTACTACGCTACGCCCAACATCTCCCTGTTAATGACTGTATCGTGCATTCACAAAAAAGACGAAACGGCTGTGTTGGCAAAATGAGTTATATCGTGCACAGCTATCTCTTTTCATCCTCTAACTCTACAATGATCTCTTCCTACAGTGTACGCATCGTACCGCTACCGATCTTAGTCTATGATATTATATCCCTCATTCCATCTTTGTGTATGGGTGATTGCGTGTGCATGTGCATGTGTGTGTGTGTGTGTGTGTGTGTGTGTGTGTGTGTGTGTGTGTGTGTGTGTGTGTGTGTGTGTGTGTGTGTGTGTGTGTGTGTGTGTGTGTGTGTGTGTGTGTGTGTGTGTGTGTGTGTGTGTGTGTGTGTGTGTGTGTGTGTGTGTGTGTGTGTGTGTGTGTGTGTGTGTGTGTGTGTGTGTGTGTGTGTGTGTGTGTGTGTGTGTGTGTGTGTGTGTGTGTGTGTGTGTGTGTGTGTGTGTGTGTGTGTGTGTGTGTGTGTGTGTGTGTGTGTGTGTGTGTGTGTGTGTGTGTGTGTGTGTGTGTGTGTGTGTGTGTGTGTGTGTGTGTGTGTGTGTGTGTGTGTGTGTGTGTGTGTGTGTGTGTGTGTGTGTGTGTGTGTGTGTGTGTGTGTGTGTGTGTGTGTGTGTGTGTGTGTGTGTGTGTGTGTGTGTGTGTGTGTGTGTGTGTGTGTGTGTGTGTGTGTGTGTGTGTGTGTGTGTGTGTGTGTGTGTGTGTGTGTGTGTGTGTGTGTGTGTGTGTGTGTGTGTGTGTGTGTGTGTGTGTGTGTGTGTGTGTGTGTGTGTGTGTGTGTGTGTGGGAGGGAGGGGGTGGGTAAGAGATAAATAATTGTTTGTGTGTACATGTGCATGTGTGTGTGTGGGAGGGGGATGGATGGGAGATAAATAATTGTGTGTGTGTGTGTGTGCACGTGTGTGTAAATGTGTATGCGTGCAAGCATGGGTGTGCCCATACGTCTACTTCAACAAAAGAAGGTACATGTGTGGGTGCATGTATGTGCATGTGTGTGTGCATGTGTGTGCATGTGTGGGTGTACATGTATGTGTGTGCATGTGTGTGTGTATGTGTGTGCATGTGTGGGTGTATGTGGGTGCATGTGTGGGTGTATGTGTGTGCATGTGTGTGTGTATGTGTGTGCATGTGTGGGTGTATGTGTGTGCATGTGTGGGTGTATGCTTGGGTGTATGTGTGTGCATGTGTGGGTGTATGGGTGTGCATGTGTGGGTGTATGCGTGTGCATGTGTGGGTGTATGTGTATGCATGTGTGAGTGTAGTTGTGTGCATGTGTGAATGTATGGGTGTGCATGTGTGAGTGTAAGTGTGTGCATGTGTGGGTGTATGTGTGTGCATGCGTGGGTGTATGGGTGTGCATGTGTGGGAGTATGGATGTGCTAGCTGGTCTCACTTTTAGGGGGTGGGGAGGGGAGGGGGGGTTGCAAGGCTGCAAGGGCGCATAATTATGTGTGGTATGGCTGCTGAATGTCAATGATGGTCATTATGTGCACGGTGAACCTAGGTCGAAGATTTTTGCTAGTGCACGTGCCCCCCCCCCCCCCCCCTGCTCTTGGTGATCTATGCGTGACCAGTTTTGGCAGTGTGCAACAAGTACAAGTGTGTGTGTGTGTGTGTGTGTGTGTGTGTGTGTGTGTGTGTGTGTGTGTGTGTGTGTGTGTGTGTGTGTGTGTGTGCATGTGTGTGTGTATGTGTGTGCATGTGTGGGTGTATGTGTGTGCATGTGTGGGTGTATGCTTGGGTGTATGTGTGTGCATGTGTGGGTGTATGGGTGTGCATGTGTGGGTGTATGCGTGTGCATGTGTGGGTGTATGTGTATGCATGTGTGAGTGTAGTTGTGTGCATGTGTGAATGTATGGGTGTGCATGTGTGAGTGTAAGTGTGTGCATGTGTGGGTGTATGTGTGTGCATGCGTGGGTGTATGGGTGTGCATGTGTGGGAGTATGGATGTGCTAGCTGGTCTCACTTTTAGGGGGTGGGGAGGGGAGGGGGGGTTGCAAGGCTGCAAGGGCGCATAATTATGTGTGGTATGGCTGCTGAATGTCAATGATGGTCATTATGTGCACGGTGAACCTAGGTCGAAGATTTTTGCTAGTGCACGTGCCCCCCCCCCCCCTGCTCTTGGTGATCTATGCGCCTAGCTCGTGTCCATGTGAGTTGGCGCGCATCTGTGCGTGTGTGTGTGTGTGTGTGTGTGTGTGTGTGTGTATGTGTGTGTGTGTGTGCGTGTGCGTGTGGGTGAATGTGCATGCATGTGTGCATGTGTGTTCCGGCTGGTTTCAAGAGTCAATAATCACCTTCCCATTGTTCTCCATTGTAAGGGAAGGCCTCTTTTACGGGCAAAGCAAAGCACAATCATCACCATGTATCAGTACAGTGAGTAGTTAAACCCAACATGAATGAAAAATGTGAAATGGAATAAAAACAATATTTGTTCCCCATTGTCCTTTTCGTGTTCTCCCATTTTCTCTTGCCGGTGTGGCAATGGTATTGAAGTAGAAAATTGTATAGTATAGTGACTACTGATATGTCAGAGCACAAAAATAGGTATCAGCTATGCCAAATTGGCTGCTTTCCGTCTTCATTTTGTTTCTTGAAAGCCAGTGTAGTATTTGTACTGTATTTAATTATTTTACTTGGGCATTCCCAACAGACCCTAAGGTCTTCTTACAGGTGTAGTTGTACCAATGCTCGGGGAATTCCTTCTCCGAACACACACAACCATAGTAGTAGTAGTAGTATTATTACAACCCTGCCCGGGTTATCCGGACCCCGGAGTTACGGGCACATCGGTCTACGGGACGCCCTTTGGGCGAGCCTCAGTGGAAATATTACTCCTCTTTTGTAATTTTTTTTGTGAAAATGGGACGTGACATGCCATATCTGTGGCATTTAACCATCGAAATGTATATGTTCAGTTCAGTTCAGTTTGTTTATTTACGGATTCTCCAGAGGTAAATGGATACCTATCATGGGAGTCTCACCAAACCAATAAAATAATGAAAATGAAATTATGTATGGAGTGCAAAAGACTGAAAATCTGAGATTTTTCGAGTCAAAGGAGAGGAAGAACATCAAGTCAAGTAGATAGAGAGCCAGGGGTGCTAATAGAACACTGGACGGGAGTGGAAAGGCAATAAAACAAAAACAAAAACTGCAGTGGCGGATTTAGACTATAATTATTGTTCAACACGTGAAACTAGGTATGCCGAAAACTGAGAAGCGTGATTCGGAGTTTTCGGACAATTCAAAGTTACTGACAGTCCCAGGTCCAGGACCACCCGGATAAACGAGGTATGAGTGTACTACAGTAGCTGAAGAACGTGGAGCCCGAGAACGTCCAGCCTGAAATACTAACAACGCCACAGCCTAGAGCTAAGAACGGCGATGTTGCTTTTCGGGCAGCTTGTGGGATACATAATTATAATCAAGTAGTACGCACTGTTTCTAAGAACGTGCAAAAAGAACGCAGCCAGATTGCTGAAAAAACAAGAACGTCCCAAGGTGTACGTGTGTGCATGTGTGGGTGTATGTGTGTGCATGTGTGGGTGTGTGTGGGTGTATGTGTGTGCATGTGTGGGTGTATGTGTGTGCATGTGTGGGTGTGGGTGTATGTGTGTGCATGCGTGGGTGTATGTGTGTGCATGTGTGGGTGTATGGAAACAACGTTCTTGGGCGCGCGACTCTACTGTATTATTAGAGGCGGAATCCTAAATTGGAGGGCTGGATAATCAGTTTCTGATCATACACGTCACTAAAACACGGAATGACAAAATTTCAATTCGATTCTATCCGATTGAGACAAGCTGCCGTGAAGCCTGGGTGGTCAGGTGATGCAACCCAGCTCTCCGTGTTGATACTCCCAGCGGTTTCACTCTCTCTGTAGCATTGGCAAAACATATTTTGGCCGATTTTCCAATATATTCCAACTTTGCAGCCGATTCTCGAACAATCAGCTGGTTTTGCAGCCGAATCTGATGTATTTTTGAGCTAAGCGAAAAGCAGAATAGGCGAAAAACGGGCCGATTTGGGGAAAGCATAGTCGTAATGGATGCAGATGATGATAGAACTGGCAGGGAAAGTAATAATTATGGAATGCTTAGTGTAATAGGTAGCCGAGTGGTAGGCGCGGTGCAATTAACAAGAATTACTTTTATTCTACTTTCAGGTACACACCTGAGATATAATCGTTATTGCAAGAAGAAGCGGCAAAATAAATAACTTTCTCTCCGGTGCTCACCTAGAGGCTGAATCCTTATTCTTCGAGTTAGCTTTCATTGCTATCCAATCTAATCTAATCTTCTCTTCATCAAAACAGAAATGCGCAGCCGCTTTTATGCAGCAGCTGCCGTACGCTTACATACGGAGATACACTAAATATACATCAGGCAAAGCTCCGTATTAGTTCCGTACTGCTTCCGTATTGGTCGGGCAGGGATACTACACCCTCCCTTCCTACAGATAATCACGCCCTCGTGATTTTCCAAAAATTAGTGAGGAGTTACGAACACAGCGTCAACCGGAAGATGGCAAATTATATCGGAAATGATAACGTTTAGAGTAGACAGAAGAAATGAACTAATAACAAATAATAAAGTAGAAGCACACCAGGTTCACACGGTCTCACGGGGTCAAAAGGGGAAAGAACTGTCCTCCAAATAGGACCTGAAGCCACAGCACTCTTGCTGCACAACGCTGGCACAACCCGCCAGGAACATCGCAGTTCAAAAACCGAACTGAATACACTATAACTATAAGGGGCGTTGTCACACACATTGTCCCACGTTAGCTGGGTAAGCCGTGGCTCACCATGATCAGACGCCTACCAAACTAAACTGGATTCACACACTCGCATAAAGGAAGACTGAAGAGAACAGGGAGACTGAAGGAAGACAGGAAAGAAAATGCCATACCTGGAATCAGCGTTAGTAACCACGGCGGCGGCTGGAGCTACGGCGGAGAGCAAGCCAGGTTTTATCTTCATCTTTGTTGAGCCGGTCACTCAGAGCGGCTAGCTCGGCGTCAGACAAATGACCTCCCTCCTCGTCTTGAATCATGGTCTTCACATTGTCGATAGCATCGCTTTGCGCGACGTAAAGAGTGATGGTCTAGCCAGGAACAGTGTTGACGAAAATCTGCATCCCACCACGG